TCCTTACTACTACTCTCAAGGTCAATGACCACCGTTACTACTCCGTTCAAGGTCATCAGGTGTCATTACTACTGGCTTGAAGGTCTTAATTACAAAGTGTCGAGGTCACTCGGAGTGCCCTTGCGACTTTTTCAAGGTCGCTGGCTTAAAATGTACCGAGAGCGGTTGCTAACGCGGACTGTGGCGAGAGAGAAAGAAAGCGGTTGACGATTAGTGGTTGCATTCGGGTAAAAAATTGCCCTGGAATAGCTCCACCTGCAGGAATTTTCCCACCGCAGCACTATATTACGGAAAAAGAACAAAAGGGTCATATACATCCCGGTCCGCTCTCCAATATATGAATACATCCAAAAATAATGTTACATCAGCTGGAATTTCTATCGACCGTCCAAGTCCTTTTTAAAATTTATCATCGTTTTGTCTATTTTATATTCCACAAAGTGTTCTGGCAGCCGTTCGCCGTCGAGATCCGTCCTCTCACCGGAACATGTTCTGATTATTTTTAAAACACGAGATATGTGCACATTTCCGCCCCATACGATCGGCTAAATAACAAAAAAAGGGGAAAAATGGGAGCGCTGCAGTGACGGTGGAAAATGTTTTCAGGAGGTTATTTTTTCACTCAATAGTTCGGTGCGTAGGCTTTGCTTAAATGATGGATGGGTATTGACGACACTTTCATTTATACCAAAATAGAGTCTGTTTTTGGAAAAACAATCTATCAATTGTAATAAGCTGCGCTGATTTCGTCTTTCTTATTTGCAGCGCTGAAAATAACTTCGATATTTCTCCTGGTAATGAGGCGAAATATAGTGAATATTTAAATAAATCCGGGATCCTCCGGAACTCGCTCGCAATATCGGAAGCCATGTTGTTTATCCGGATGTATTGTGCTATATAAGTCAGCAATAACGGTGGAAAAATGCCTGTCGACGACGAATCGTCCTGAAATCCGTGCCGGTGATAAAACCGTAATCAGGAAATTCCTGAACCTATTTTGTTTTATGTGTTGCGATATATGTCGGTAAATAGCGGAATAAAAATATCTCATGTGCAACACTTTACGACACCTACAGCCCCGGGCTTGCTTATTTAAGTCATCTTTGCGAAAAAGTTAAATCTAATATCCGTCTTTCCGTCCCCATGGAGCATTCAAATCGAACAATTCCGGCGAAATTTGACAACTTCTTTTGTGTCGTAATAACCTGATAGAAAAATCCTCCATGTGGAAGACGCGGCGCTCAGTTTTGATAAAACAATGCCGCATGTCAGCAGAAACGACATTTCCAGGGGCCAGCGGCGCAGCGCCCAGAATTACACAAGCAAAGGCAAAATGCGATTACCGTAGAGCCCTAGGTGCATGCACCATCTACCAACACAGAAACTAAAAATATTCCTGCTATAAAAACCAGTTTAGAAGCGGGGATGCGTAAAATTAACGTGATCTACGCTACTGTTTCATATAGTTCAGCAAAATCAGCGTCCGGTTGCTAAGAGCGCTATAATATTGATATTACTCAACCTATGTTGTTTATATTTGAACGTACAACAAAACAGCTAGTTTTGTTTAGTCTAGCTTTTAGAGAGCACGCCGCTGCCGTCCGTTGCTTACCATTGCCGGCCCTCATCGCGCCTCGCCATTATCTCCTCCGATTTAAAAACAACTCCACAAACTCGATTCCTCCGAAACCCAATTGATTTCGTCGAAAATCCCCGCGTAAAATCCGAAAAAAATTGCCCCCGTGACGAGGAGTCAATTTATGTCCCTCTCCTTTTTTTGGTTTCAGATCGCCTTCCTTTTCCCAAAGGAGGAGGCAACTTCACGCGCCAACTTCTTTACTCGCTTGTTAATGGAGTTTGTTCGAGGATGGACGGCCGGAACGTCGGGAATCTCGTCCGCAAACGAAGGGTCAACTTCTCCGACCTACAAAACACTAAATACCTCGGCCGTGGCTCTGATTCTGACCGGTCACTCCTAATTTAAACTTCATCGGGAGTTTGCTGGCGGCGGCAAAAAATTCCACCGCCGCTGAAATCCGAGCGAGGGAATTATCGTCGCTGATTCGATGCGGCCTAATAAAATTTTTAAATGCGTTGCGAATCTCCATGAGTTGATATTAAGCGTGAAACCGACTGGCGGCGGGCTGGGGGCGGCAGTTGGGTCAATGTGTTGCTCTTTCCACTTTTAATCTGAATGCGTAATGGATTTGGAACGCTGCGGCCGCCGGGCTTTCGAAGCGGCATTGCAGAGGGGTTTTTGCGGAAAGTTAGGGGCCGTTACGTAATGTTGCGCTTCGGCGGCGGCAGACGTTACGCAAAAAACGATCCAAGGATTCTACTAGTTTCAAGGTAACACCTTCACTACTATTTCCAAGGTCAGAGGATCTCCACTGCAGTTTTGAAGCAGTGGCACGTGATGTGCATGCAAGGACGTTAAGTAAGAGATGTCTCTACTACTAGTCTCAAGGTCACGAGGGGCACCCTTACTACTATTTTCAAGGTCAGATACTCGTATCATTAATCTGTGTATGTTTCGAGCATCTGGTAAGATTTACGTACCTCAGGATAGCGGAAATAAACATTTATTGCAGCGTATCTGTCACGTATCAAAGTTAAAGTTTAGCACTACTTCGAAGTGGATTGCGCAATTTTTTGTCTCGTAGGTATCGTTGGCGTAAGATTCGCCTCCACTTGTAAAACCAGCGGCATTCGCATCGGGAATATCATGCACCAATTCGGCGAAATTTTACCCAAATTTGATTACGTACTCTTGTAATTCTTTTATCTTTCGGTCGTGCCCTCGTATAATTTATAACAATTTCGTTGTCCAAATTTAATTTGCTTCCATTGGAATTTTTCCGGCATCCTAATGAGATTAGAGGCTTGACATTATTTTCCGCTAGTCTAACAGATCAAAATGAAATTAGTAATACGATGAGCGAATGAAAATGGAGTTGTGGGAGCGCCGGAAACAACGGAACCGTAAACTAATTTTTCTTCGCTGCGGTACCCTTACTACTCGCTTCAAGGTCGCGGGGTGGGGCGGCCGCGGCCAATCGCGGGCCGCGCTCGCGTCACGTGCTTTCTACTTTTTTCAAGGTCGCGCCAGTGGTAAGGCCCGCGTTCGTCACGTGACGGCGGGGGCGGTCAAGAGGTCCGGCAGGGTTAAGCCGCTTTGGAGCCAAGTATGCGTGTACGATTGAAAACTAATAGGTATAGCTGTGGAGTCGAGGGTCCTCCATTCTATTCGAATAATCACCCTCGTATTGTTTAAAGTAACGCGGTGGAAATGGATAAAGTGCCGGCCAGCGGTTACACACGAAGTCCGACCTTCTCAACGCTTCAGATAATTTATAAGGGCTAGTACATTTGCTGCTAACTTAATTAAATTTAGATTAACTATACCTAAATGGCCACCCAAAAACTGTAATCTCTACGAATATATCTTCGGCCGGTTCCATTGGCGTAATAACATGGTGAGCGGGACTCCCTCTGTCGGACGGCCGGCACTAAATCATTTCTCGCTCGCTTTAACTCGATTCCGATTGAATCACGAATGCGGTTAGAAATTCCGAGCGAGGGCTGCTGTGCTACAAACGATATGCGTTCATTTGTATGGAAATTCCGATGGAGAAAACTCGTCCACGGAGGGCACAGATCGACACGACGGTCACTAGGGCTGATTTTTAGAGTTCGTTAACCTAGACGAGGGCTGCACATGTTGCCGAAAGTTCGACTTCGGGCGACTTTCCCAGGGAAGCTCGTTTCAACTTTGTCGCTTTTATTTTCGCGCGTGTGTAAACAATACGTTTTTAAATGATATCGGCGTATTTCACACTTATCTGACCTAATGGGCGTGTTATGGCCGCAATAAAACGCGCAATAAAAGCATCATTACATAAATGTTCCACTATTTAAAAACCAGCAGGCCACTAAAAAAGCTCCAATTATAATATAACAATGGGTAATTAGCAAGCAAATTGCATTCACAGTTGCTCCGTTCTATAAAGCCACTGTAATGTCATAGAGTATTCATTTCCCGATGTCATTTAATATTATCTATTATTGAATAGACAAAGGATACGCCACTGTTTGGATTCGGCTGAAATTTGAAACGTGAGTGAAACGACGCGCAAAGAAAAAATCTGCCAGAGACAGTTCTTTGATACTTGTTGATAGCACGAATATTCTTATAGATTCAGGAGAATAATGTCCACGCGTACACCAACGACCTTGTACTTCCACCAATCAATACCAACCGTAATGGGTCTTTTGTTTTTAAAATTTTAACTTTATTTGCGAACGTGCGGAAAATCCAATAATCGTTCCGAGGCATGAAATTATTTTTAGAAATTTAAAAAGCGGATCCTTAAAGTACGCCTTCGCTTTTAAATCAGTTTTACGTCTCGTACACTTTGCAGATTCTTGTGTACCGATATTGTTTGTTTCGTTGGACTCTCGTTCTGTTTCGTTTTATTTCTCACATCAAGCTCTGGTAGAGACACGTTATTATCCCCACCACTTCGTAGTGGTGACGGGAGCCGCAGGTAGAATACAAATTAGATTAGAATCATAGCTAGTACATATGCGTGCATTTTTTGTTTCTGGAGCATAACGTAGGTCCTCTCTGCGTTAAAAAAGCATCAACAAGCGCAACTTATCTTTTATTTGAGTTTGGCTTCGACTGGGTTTAATTCATCCGAAAGTCCTTTCTCTCACGTTATTATTTTGGTTTCAGGCCTGGCGAGAGCCGAGTCCTGATTTTCGGCACCCGAATTCACTTAAAGTTTGTCCTTCGGCTTATCACCTTCTTGAAACAATGACATAAGTGGGTTAAGAGTTAAATCCTGTTAACTTTTTCCCCCTTCGTTGAGATTTATATCACGCGTACGTACGGATAAAAGGCGACTATTATGTAAAAAAGAAGCGCATAAGAAATCTCGTCTTACTTTTACGTGTGTATTCCGGAATTTGCCGGTGGAGAGGTTGAAAGGTTGTACTTTTATAAATTGGACGTTTTTATTTCCCTACTAAATTTTACACGCTACACAACAGCATTGCGATTAATCGCCTTTTTGTTTGTCTTTTTTGCCGAACAATTTTCTAAAGATGGCTCTGGTGACGTAGAAGGAGGCGGCAAAAACGAGCCCGAAGACCAACAACAGGAAGGCGATCACATCCAGAAGGAGATATTTGTAAAGGGGCATTCCCACGGCGGCTGTACGCATGTGGTGGGCTCCGCGGTGACGCGCCACGTATTCCACCCAGTAGATGGCGGTTTCGAGGGGCGGCATGGGGCGGTCGCGGAAGCGCGTAGACAGCTCCTCGGCCTGCTTCTTAAACCTGAAGCAGAAAAATTGCATCACTAGATTAATTAGGATGTTTCAAAATCTTACTTAGGATCCAAAATGGTCTTCAGCGCGTCGTAGACCTTCTCTTCCGTGGCCTCGTACAGATGCAAAATCACCCCTCCACCGTTGGCCTCCAGGGCTTTCGCGTTCGTGAACTGGTCTCCATACTGCGGCATCACCATCACCGGCACTCCGCAATGCACCGCCTCCGTGGTCCCCAAGAGTCCTCCGTGCGATATGAAGGCTTTCACGTTCGGATGGCCTGCAATATTTAACAAATTTAATGCAGCTCCTCGATATGAATACTGCAGGCGGTAATTTAGTACCCGGCTACGTCTCGCATGCTTGTTTCAGACGTTTTAGCAAAAATACCACACTTATTCGAGTCCTCTTGGAGCAATTTCGCCCCGAGATCTCTCCACACTTTATCTTGCGATTTATATGTTTCGCGAGCGATCTTGATCAAATGACGCTTTCAACATGTCTGACATTGAATGTGCGAAGAGGGTGAATGTTTGCCTTTAGGTCGGGTCGAGTGAAATCGGAATGGTGGTTGGACGCATAAAAGTATTTACAACAAAATGGTGCTGCCAGTCGTAAAACTAAGAGTGCGTGCTTTATTTCTTCCGAGGGAGTTTGATTTGAAATGTTGCAAAGTGGGGCACTAAACATGGCGGTTGACGGAGATGACTGTAAAAAGTTAGTTGGATGGATGTGGGTTTTACGTTAGTTGGGAAAAGTGGAGTTGGGGACGAGGAAAGTGTGTTAAATTTTGATTGGACACAATGTATGCTTTACGGCCAAAACTAATTTGTTTGTGGCCTCTTCCATCAACAACTTTGCTGCTCTGCGCTTAGTTAACTTCCACATTAGTTGCTTTTTTAGCTCAAAAAACTACTAGCGAATGAAAAAGTTTTAGTTTGAAATTCAACAGTGACAAAAAGGCGCTAATTGGAAAATGCAAAGACCCGTTCTACTTAAGTGCTAATAGTTGAGATGATGATCTTGGTCCGAAAAGAATGCGGGTTTTTGATGTTCTAAGATACAGGCTAGGCCAACTCGCAGGCAAACTTTATTAAGAAAGAAGTGTTCCTTTAGAAAAAGATTTATTTATTGTGTTTTGACCTTAAATTAAAAAGAAATAAGATTTGTGTCCTCGTTCTCTCTACGTTGTTCTTTATGATGCGAAAAGAGTGCGGGGTTTTGCAGCCGTATATATGAATTAGCATAATCAACACCGGGTTAAGTAAATTTCAGCTAGACAGATTGCTTGCGAGTCTAGAGTTCGAGTTATATGACATATGAAATAAAACGAGTGAATATCGAATCTGTTGATCTCGCGTTATATTCCGTGGCTGCCTTTCGTCGTCAACGTAGTTTTGCATTATGCCTGTTGAGATATTAGGGATTTGCGCCGTGATTGTCTACTCACAGAGAATGTCAAGTTGCGGCATCCACTTCTGTATCATTACGTTGTCTGGTTTCCCCGGCATCGTGTCGTTCTCGTATTTCCAAAGGACTCGTTGCGGCAAACGTCCGAAAGCTTTCAAAAATTCCTGCCTTTTCTCGTCGGGGAACGTGTGCCCTTTGATCATGGATCCCAAGCTGAAGTAAATAACGCCGTGGGTGGATTCGTTTATCCATTTCTCGAGGTCCTGCAATAAATCGTCGTCGAATTAAACGTTTGAAGGTCCGTTCCCGGTCTGAATATGGGAATTATATCGCCATTATGTACTAAACCGTGATTCAATGCCCCCATAGAGGAAGTCGATAAAGTTAAATAATAAGCTGGGGCTTTTTTAAAGGCGCTGCTCCTGATCCGGGCCCATAAATTCCCATATACACACCGCCATCAATCACGAAGGGAGCTCCGGCTCGAAAACGGGAGAAAAGGCGTCAGATTTAATAACTCCGACATCAAATTATTAAACAGTGTAGCTCCAATAATGCAAACCTTGGCCCATTTAAACTTTAATATAACTTAACGAGTAATAAAGCGGAATTACGCGCAAGATCTCCCGTACAACAGCCAAGTCTTCTAAATACTTCTTAGAAAACTCATTTCCTGGCTTATCTATTAAATACAATCTCCAAGCAACTGTGTTTTCGACGTGCCCGAATTATTCAGGCGGGAACCCATGAATACTTAATCAGTCGACACATGTGGAACATTTAAGATGACGCAAACACCGCCCGCCATGGCCGACTCTGGCAACGGCATTCCGGACACGTCAAACACACCGGAACGTATCGATAAATTTTCGCAGCGGAGGGTCAAGCTTTATCCCTAAAGGAAATAATTACTACCAAATATACTACGTCCAGTCCAGGTTCGACCCAAAAACAAAACCATCGTCAAAAACACCTCTTTAAACACCAAAACAATTAACGCAGCGTAGCTGCTGAAATTGACAATCTGATTGTGTCAGTGCCCCGAGTTAATAATTTTTAAAGTCGCACAGATAAAAATGACAGTCCAGCGTAGATAAAAACTAGTACGTGTCAACAGCAAACCAGAGTTTGTACCTCAGCGGTAACAAGCTTTCAATTGGCGCTTATTCCGTCCACGTCATCGCGCCCGGAACAGGTCAGTCGACGCAGCAAATTAACCGGAGACTCCGGGCGCCAGAACACGTAAATATCATTTTCCGCCACAATAAAATAATAAGAGCTTGATTGCGGATTGCACGATACGGGTTCGTTGAACCGCAACATGCATGATCCTGCCGGAAGAAAATCCTGCAGTTGTTAAGGAAACGGCGCAATTATCCTTTCGAGTTTCATCGCGCCTATTCAGGACTAATTGTGTATAATTTAGCGCTTTGGACGCTTATTATGTGAATTGAAATAATAAGAAAGGGCTTATTTCGGGCCGAGATGCGAAAGAATCACGGCGTTTTCACTGAGTTGGAAAATTACCGAAAACAATGTTAACGAGCTGACAAGATGTGTTTTTATAATTGAGGGTTCTGGGCCGCGTAATGGAATCGGAGAAAGGGGAGACGTCAATAGGACGAAAAATCGGCGTTCGAGTTTTCGGTAACGTTAAGAGTTTATTAATTAGTGACGTTATAACGGAGGCTGATATTGAATGTACTAACTTCGGGCGCCCTTTTTATGCGCGTAATATGCATTCCGCCGATTTCCACCACACCAGGCACTAAAGGCCTGGGGAGATTCAAGCTGAAATGACTATTGACAAGCAACAAGCTGCTATTCGAAACAATATCTTTCAAGGGTGGTAAATCTCTCCCGAAAAACTCCTTTGCAATCCTCTCCCCATTTCCCATTATCATAGTGTCGTAGTACAAGTTATGCAACAGTCCGACCAATAAATTCTCCACTCGTCCAAAAAACGAAATCCGATCGGAATAGTCGAGGTTGTTGTTGGGTATATACGACGGATTTGAGGGGCTGCCAAACTTCTCGTTCGTCCAATGCATTATCGTTCCGGGACTTAAACCAACCAGTGGGGCCTTGAAGGCGTCAATTACGCTCAAAAAACAATCACTGTTGAAGAATTCCGCTATTATCACGTCGTAAGTTTGGTTAGTTTGAAAAAAACGACGAAGACTGGGAGATCGAAGATCTTCGTTGCAGTGTTTCTGGGTGAAATAGTTGAGGATTTGAACAATTGACCATTTTTGCGGTCTCGAGGATCCATGAATGACATCAATGTCGTGAAGCGTGGAAGAATTACCCAAATTTATATCAACATAGTTTGGAATTGGGGTTTCCAAAGGGAAATGACTGACGACAGTGACTTGGTGCCCCTTTTTTGACAAAGCTTGGGCTAGCGGCAAACACACGTTAGCGTGACTCCTACTACGGTGAGGACACAACACAAGAATATTATACGATTCCACTAAACACACTTCGATTAACCACAATCGCACCAACAACATTTTGCATAATGCGAACCGTGAAGTTGAATTATCTTGACACGTCGCTATAAATTTACATACTTACTGTTGGTAATTTTTTAACTTGTCCTATGTGCATTCCCCCCACTTCGACTAAAGCAGGCACTGTAGGCCTGGGCAGAGTAAGACTGAAGTGGCTATTCACTAGAAGCAAGCTAGTGTTCAAAGTGATGTCCATAAGAGAGGGTGAGTCTTCCCCAAAGTACTCTTTCGCAATATCTTCTCCGTACTTCATCATCACACTATTGTAATACAGTTGTTGCAGCACTCCTAGCACTAGATTTTCAACTCGGGCCAAAAAGGGCATCCGGTCGTAGTGTTCCATGTGGACGTTGGGTATATACGAAGGAGTTGTAGGGGTCCCAACCCTTTCACTAATCCAATGGGGTATAATACAAGTCGAGATTCCAATAGTAGGTGCCTTGAATTTGTTCGCAAAACTCGCAAAACACTCACTATTGAAAGCTTGCGTGATGATCACATCGAACCTTTCGTCTGTTTTGAGAAAGTCTTTGACGACCGATGAAGCAAAAGCTTGGGTGCACGAAGCTTCAGCCAGTTTATCTAGCATGAGGAGGGTGAACCATCTCTGTAACCACGATCCCGTGAAGTCGCCCAGATTCCCAGGAATTGTTGGTATTTCTTCGTGGAGAACAACGTCGCGGTAGTTGGGGATGGGGGTCTTGAGAGGGTAGTGACCCATGACTGTTACGTCGTGTCCCTTTTTGGCTAGAGCTTCCACTAAGGGGTAGTACACTAAGAAGTGGCTTTTGCCACGATGTGGAAACAAAGCCAGGATTTTGTAACCGTGCACTAGTGACGCGGTTGTTAAAATTAACAATAATCGGAAAATCATGGTTATATTTTCTTTGAGTAGTCGTACAGAAAATGCGAATTTAAGGAAGTGGAAGGTTTTATAAGGCGTGATTGCGTCGTCAACAACAATTAAGATAGCAGAGTGCATTAGATATCAAGGTCTATGCATTATACAAGTTATTGAGTCTAACGTAACGCGAAAAATTGATTAAGGTCATCTATTTACATATGTAAATTAAGATAAAGTAAACCGTGTCGATTCACGATAACTGCCGCAATTTTTAGTACTTACGGATGGTAATTTCACAACTTCCGCGATATGAATTTCTGGTATTTCGACAACAGTAGGAACTAAAGGTCGTGGTAGATTTATAGTGAAATGAGTAACACCTAGCAGCAAACTTGCCCCCAGAGATATATCTCTGGACGACACAATTTCCCCCTCGAAATATTCTCTCGCAACATTTTCGCCTTCTCTATTCATAACATAGTTGTAATAATATTGTTGTAGAAGCCCCAAGATCAAATTTTCAACTCTCCCCAAAAACGGAATCCTATTAGAATATTGGAGTTGGTTGTTCGGAATATAACCCGGATGTGTGGGGTTACCGAAAACCTCACTAATCCACTCGAACAGATTACAAACCGAGAATCCGATAGGTGCTTTGAATTTTTTCGCCAAACTCAGTAAACAATCGCTGTGGAAGTACTGCACGACGACTACGTCAAAAGTGTCGTTCTTTCGAAACAAACTCTTTAGTCCAGGGTGTAAGTTGCAGACAATTGTTCCAATGTAGGGCCATAGATGGTCGTCAAATCGGAAGAAAAACCAGGAGGTTTTGACATGTTTTGGGTTTGGAAGTCCAGTGATACGTGACTGTAGGTAGGCGGAGGACTCTGGATCGGAAAGTGGCCTGCAACTGTCACTTGGTGTTCTTTTGTAGCCAAAGCGTGAACTAGAGGCAAAAAGAGTTTGCTGTGACTTGGGGATCGTGTTGATAACACGACTAGTAATTTGTAAGGATGCACTCTTGATAAGTAAGTTATCACCAAAATTATTGGAGAAACGAACATTTTTGTCGTGCGATTGTAAGCTTAATCGTGTCAAACAAACTTTATCTATGCTAAAACGCTACAAAGTCGAAAAATAGGACGCCATAATCAGTAACCATAAATCAGACAACAGCATAAAGCAGTTTTCATTAACAAATTTTGATAATTAAGCTAACTAAATTAAATTTAATTATCAATAAAACATAGTCTATATAACATAAATTACACCTTGTCGGTCATTAAACTGTAGAAAAGATTATTACAAGTAAGTAATAGTACTTACATCTGGTAACCTGTTAACTTTGGTAATATGCGTTGTTCCAATGTCGACAATAGCAGGAACTAAAGGTCTTGGTAGATGTATCGTAAAATGAGTAACCCCTAGTAGCAAACTCGCTCCCAGAGATATACCCCTAAAAGACACTTCTTCCCCAAAATATTCTCTCGCAACATCTTCCCCTTCTCTCGTCATCACATAACTGTAGTACAATTGTTGCACAAACCCTAATATCAAATTTTCAACTTTTCCCAAAAACGGAATCCTATTCGAGTGTAGCAGTTGGACGTTCGGAATGTAACCCGGATGGGTGGGGTTAGCGAAAATCTCACTAATCCACTCCAACAAAACACAAACCGAGAATCCAATTACAGGTGCTTTGAATTTTTTCGCCAAACTCAGAAAACAATCGCTACAGAAGTACTGCGCGATGATTAAGTCAAAAGTTTCGTTTCTGTTAATCAAATGTTTTAGTCCTGGGCTTGCAAAGTCTTCTTGGCAGGTGACTCGACCCATTTGGTGCAGAAGGTAAGTGGCAGACCATCTTTCTATTGCTGTACCTTGATAGTCCTTTAAATCTGAAGAAAAAGGAGGTTTCTGTGTGTTTCGCTTTTGGCAGTCCAGTGATATGTAATTGTAGTTAGGTGGAGGATTCTGGAGAGAAAAGTGGCCTACGACGGTTACTTGGTGTCCTTTTTCAGCCAAAGCTTGAGTTAAAGGTAGAAAAAGTTTGCTGTGACTTGGAGAACGTGATGGTATCACAACTAATAACTTGTATGAATATACTGCTGAAAGGCAACTTGTTGCCAAAATTAGTCGCAAAAACAACGTTTTCATTATGGAACTGTTAACTTTGACGTCTAACTTGCTTCTGTAATTAAGCAAACACTCACAACTAGAATTGTGGACACCGTAATGGTTAGAGATAAATTTTACAACCACATTTGTGCTTAATTTGATTCATGGCTTTTGATAACTCTTACATTACTTAAAATAATGAGTTAAATAATTCGCCTAGAGACATTAACTTTGTTTTGTAGGGGACTTGAATATTTTGCTTTGGCTTATTAGAGTAATTAACTGCATTAGTTAATTTAGTACCACTACGCAATAACTTGTAACTGTAAAACTTACATGAGGTAGCTGATTTATGTTTTCAATGTGCAACCCACCAACTTCCACCACATGAGGCACTAAGTTCATATTTTAAAATATATATCGTGAAAATACGCACGGCTATTGGTTGTGTGTTATTAGTTAGACATCGGTAATAACAGTAAAAAATTAACGTCAAGGTTATGACACGTGTTGTTAACATGTGACTTAACTTTAGCAATAAAAAAAAATGTAAATTTTTATTCGGTTTATACTTATAATTTGTGATAAAAATAATCGACGGAGTTCGTAGTTTAGTACTACTATCACTCTAACAAACGATGTCAATATAACTAGTAGTATACGTAAAAACACGTGAACACAACTTCCTTTGTCATATGTGTTTATATTTTTTGAGCGATGTGAAACTATTGTCCTAGAGTGATTTAGATGAACGTCTAAATTCACTTTTCGGCCTTTCATAATACATAGAATACAAACATTCAGCTTGCTTCTACTAGGATCTCGGAGATTAATTATTATTATCTCATAAATGCAAACGAACAAGGTCGACCTTATTAGAGATCAATTTTTGAAACTAGTGAATCCAATGCATTGAAATTTTGTGTGTTGTTTGATACCAGAACGCGTTGTGTTTAGTCTACCGGTAAACACTAACCAAAATTTGTTTGTTATTTCTTTCAAAAAGGCATGACGTCAACTTATACAATTTGTTGAATAAGAATGTAATTCTCCTTTACGAAAAAGTAGCAATATAAATCTTTCGTGACTTATTGAGACAAATAGGCAGTCATCATTTTGTCAAAACGCGGCTGAAACAAACCTGTATATTATCAACACGTTAAATTTTGTTTACTATCTCCACGTCAAAATATTTCTCATTACGACAACTTAAAATGTTTAAGCGGCAATAACATTTGAAATTCAAATTTTAGAAATAATGAGTTCAACGAAAATTGAATTTTTCCTTGTTTGAGTTTTTTGACATTTGATGATACTTGTTGGTAAAATATGAGTCACAACAAACTATGAAATAAAAATATATAAAGGCATATACTTTTTAGACTGGTACATAAATACCATAAATGGTATCACGGCTTTTTATTGGCTTGTTATTTTGAACTTACTTGTCAACGAATTCATAAAGTTAGTAACTTATTTTATTTAACCTTTTTTATTTACTTTTCCCATGTGTATTCCTCCAATTTCTACAACACCAGGCACCAGAGGCCGCGCAAAATGCAGAGTACAGTGACTATTAACCAATAACATGCGAATATTAGAAACCGTATCTTTCAAAGATGGCACATCTTCACCAAAATACTCTTTGGCAGTTTTTTCTCCCCTGCCGATCTTCCCATTAGCAAGTTTTCAACACGTGCCAAAAACGACATCGGATTTACGTAATCCAAATGGGTGTCAGGAATGTAAGCTGGGTGTGACGGCACTTTAAACTTTTCGCTCACCCATATGGGCATATTTTACGAAATGAATTCTACCACTGGTGCTTTAAATTTGTGCGTCATGCTGAAAAAACAATCACCCACGATTATGTCAAACGTGTTTTCTGGGTTTTCTACGAGGTTTCGGACTGTGGCAGAAGTAAAATCGTCGTTACAGGATAGTTTTGAAAAATTGTCGACTACACTCAGTACAGACCACATTTCTTTTCTTGATCGTTTAGTAGTTCTCAGGTTTGAATAAGCAAAGTCTAGTTCTTTAGATATCTTCAGTTGTGTGTTGAAGTAGTTTGGTGGCGATGTTTCTTGAGGAAAGTGGCTGATTGAAGTTACTTGGTGGTCATTCTTGGCAAGGGTTTTAGTTAGTGCTAGGAGCGGAATTAAATGACTTCTTCCTCCGTGTGCAAGAAGTGCTAGAATTTTATTACCACAGGTTTTAGAAGAGGAGGTTCAATAGCACTAGTATTTTGAAAACGAGCATTCTGAATATTTGGGAACACTACTACTGACCAACTGCGCAATATATTTGAATTTTATCAGCGTAAAACGTAAAACCATACTATTACTACATACTTAGTGAGTTTATATCGGTTTCGTGTAGTTAAAAATATCACATAAACATAAATAATAATAATGGTAATAAACATACGATTGGTGGTTTTCTTATTTCTCCAATATGCATCCCCCCAATTTCCACAACAGCAGGAACCAGCGGCCGCGGAAAAAACTAACCAAAGTAGCTGTTAACCCACAACAGGCTAATATTTCTGGCAGTGCTATTAAGTGATGGCATATCCTGTCTAAAATACTCTCTTGCAGTGTCTTCACCAATTGGCATAACATAAATGTCATAAACAAAATTCTGGAAATGTACCACTATCAAATTTTCTAGTCTCTCCCAAAACGACATTGGATTCCCAAGATCCAAGGCTGCATTCTGAATGTAAGCCGGATGAGTGGGGTTTGCAAACTTTCTGCTGACCTATCCTGGGAGACTAAGAGGACTAATTTTCACAATTTGTGCTCGAAATCTGTGCATCAAACTCCAATAGCAGCTGTACCGTTGGGTAGTGGTTGATTACTTCCAAAACATTGCGAACGAAGTCAGAAGCAAATTTCTTACCGCATGTTGTTTTTGTATAGTTTCTTATCAAATTTATTTGGAACCACATTTCGCTTCTTGAACTAGTGAAAAACTTCATAAGTCAAGACCAAAATTATTGGAAAAACGAACATTTTTGTTGCGCGATTGTAAGCTTATACGTGTCAAACTAACTTTATCTATGCTAAACCGGTACAAAGTTGCAAATTATGACGCCATAATCAGTAATCATAAATCTCATGACAGCATAACGCAGTTTTGATTCACAACTTTTGATAATTAAGGCAACTAAATTAATTTTAATTGTCAATAAATCATAGTCGATACATCAACATAAATCACACCTTGTCGATCATTAAACTGTAGAAAAAAATCATTACAGGAATAGTACTTACAGCTGGTAATCTGTTAACTTCCGTAATATGCATTGTTCCTATGTCGACAACAGCGGGAACTAACGGTCTTGGTAGATTTATCGTAAAATGAGTAACCCCTAGTAGCAAACTTGCTCCCCGAGATATACCCCTAAAAGACACTTCCTCCCCAAAATATTCTCTCGCAACATCTTCCCCTTCTCTCGTCATCACATAACTGTAGTACAATTGTTGAACAAGGCCTAGTATCAAATTTTCAACTCTTCGCAGAAATGGAATTCTATCAGAGTGTTGCAGATGGATGTTCGGAATATAACCCGGATGGGTGGGGTTAGCAAATACCGCACTAATCCACTCGAACAAGATACAAACCGAGAGTCCAATTACAGGTGCTTTGAATTTTTTCGCCAAACTCAGAAAACAATCGCTGCTGAAGTACTGCACTAGGATTAAATCAAAAGTTTCGTTTTTGTTAATCAAATTCTTTAGTCCTGGGCTTGCAAAGTCTTCCTGGCAGGTGATTTGACCCATTTGGTGCAGAAGGTAAGTGGCAGACCATCTTTCTATTGCTGTACCTTGATAGTCCTTTAAATCTGAAGAAAAAGGAGGTTTCTGTGTGTTTCGCTTTCGGATGTCTAGTGATAGGGAGCTGTAGTTAGGTGGAGGATTTTTCAGCGAGAAGTGGCCTGCAACAGTCACTTGGTATCCTTTTTCAGCCAAAGCTTGAGTTAAAGGTAGAAAAAGTTTGCTGTGGCTTGGGGATCGTGATGGTAATACAACTAATAATTTGTATGAATGTACTGCCGAAAGGTAACTTGTTGCCAAAATTAGTCGCAAAAGCAACATTCGCATTATGCAGCTGTTAACTTTTGCGTCTAAGTTACTTGTGTACTTATGAAAGCACTCATAACTAGAATTGTGGACGCCGTAATCAGTAGCGGTAAATTTTACAAGCAACTTTGTGTTTGTTTTGATTCATGGCTTTTGATAATTTTTGTTTTACGCGAAATAATGAGTCAACCAATTTGCTTTAAATTGACGAATGCATTAATTTTGTTTGGCAGGCGCCTGGGTTACCTCATTTTGATATTTTGCTTTGTCTTTTTTGAATGATTAACTACGTGGGCAAAAATTACCCGTAAGTTAATCTAGTCCCTCTACACAATAACCTATAACTGTAAAACTTACATGAGGTTTATGTTTTCAATATGCAACCCACCAACTTCGAACACATGAGGCACTAAAGGTCTAGAAACCCAAAGCGAAATGACCATTCACCAAAAGCTACCTAACATTGAAACCAATTTGTTTCAAACTTGGCAGATTTCCCCCAAAATATCCTCTAGCTGGTATCCATTTTCCATAATCATGGTATCGTAATACAATTCGTGGAATAACCCCACCAAAAAATTTTCCACTCGTTCCAAAAAGCCCATCCGATTTGATAAGGCTAAACCATTGGTGGGTACGTAGGATGGGTGTGATGGGTTATAGGTAGATAACTGATTCCAACCACTGGGACTTTGAAGTTGTGCCCAAAAGTCAAAAAATAGTCGCTGCTGTAGATTTCGGTGATGATTATGTCGAAACTTCGGTTATTGTTTTCCAAAAAACCTTGAACTGAAGAACAGTTGAAGGTTTTGGTGCACGATATTTTTCAGTGGTGTTCTATTTTGTGCTTGATAATGAGCCACTTTTCTTTCCGAGATCCGGTGTAGGTGTTTAAACTGAAGATGCCATTTGGTTGGTGCGAGAATCTTTCGAGAGTGATGTGACGGTAATTATGGGAGAGTGTTTTTGGGGCAAAATGACTGATGGAACTTACTTCATAACTTATTGAGACAAATAGGCAGTAATTATTTTGTCATAACGCAGCTGAAACAAACTTGTACATTATCAACACGTTAAATTTGTTTACTGTTTCCACGTCAAAATATTTCTCAGTACGACACTTAAAATGTTTAAGTGGCAATAACATTTGCATTTCAAATTTTAGAAGTAATGAGTTGACTTAAAAATGAATATTTCTTTATTTGGTTTTTTGACATTTGATGATATTTGTTCGTAAAATATGTGCCACAACGAACTATGAAATAAAAATATATGCAGGCACATACTTTTTACACTGAATATTAAAACTGATGATACATAATTACCATAAAAGGTACCACGTATTTTTATTGACCTGTTATTTTGAAGTCACTTGTCAACAAATTCATAAAGTTAGTAACTTACTTTATTTAACCTTTTATTTACTTTTCCAATGTGTATTCCTCCAATTTCTACAACACCAGGAACCAGAGGCCGCGCAAAATGCAGAATATGGTGAGTATTAACCAATAACATGCTAATATTAGAAACCGTATCTTTCAAAGATGGCACATCTTCACCAAAATACTCTTTGACAGTTTTTTCTCCCCTGCCGAGAATAAAGTGGTAGTAGTAAAAATTATGCAATCTTCCCATTAGCAAGTTTTCAACACGTGCCAAAAACGACATCGGGTTTACGTAATCCAACTGAATGTCAGGAATGTAAGCTGGATGTGACGGCACTTTAAACTTTTCGCTTACCCATATGGGCATATTTTGCGAAATGAATCCTACCACTGGTGCCTTAAATTTGTACGTCATGCTGAAAAAACAATCACGAGGTTTCGAACGGTGGCAGAAGTAAAATCGTCGTTACAGGATAGTTTTGAAAAATTGTCGATTACACTTAGTACAGACCACATTTCTTTTCTTGATCGTTTAGTAGTTCTTAGGTTTGAATAAGCAAAGTTTAGTTCTTTGGATATCTTCAGTTGTGTGTTGGAGTAGTTTGGTGGCGATGTTTCTTGAGGAAAGTGACTGATTGCACTTACTTGGTGGTCTTTCTCGGCAAGGGTTTTAGTTAGTGCTAGAAGCGGTATTGATTGACTTCTTCCTCTGTGTCGAAGAAGAGCTAGGATTTTATTACCACAGTTTTGGAAGAGGAGGTTCAATAGCACTAGAATTCTGAAGGCGAGCATTCTGAAAGTTTGTGAACACTACTATTGACTAACTCCATTATATGTTATTTGAATTTTATCAACATAAAATGTAGAAGTATACTATAACAACATACTAAACATAAATTAAATGTGGGTCGAGGTATATAGTACCAGTGATAGTCAAATTTCATGACTGTGGGATCTCAAACTCAACTTCAAGTCTTCGAAAACAAACATAAATAATAATAATAGTAATAAACATACGTTTGGTGGTTTCCTTATTTCTCCAATATGCATCCCCCCAATTTCTACAACACCAGGAACCAGCGGCCGCGGAAAAAAGAAACTAAAGTAACTGTTGACCCACAACAGACTCATATTTCTGGCAGTGTTACCAATCGATGGGATATCCTGTCCAAAATACTCTCTGGCAGTATCTTCACCAATCGACATAACAAACAAGTCATAAAAAAAATTCTGGTAAAGACCCACTATCAAATTTTCCAGTCTCTCCCAAAACGACATTGGATTTCCAAGATCCAAGGCTGCATTCTGGATGTACGCCGGATGAGTGGGATTTCCAAACTTTCTGCCGACCCATCCTGGGATACTAAGAGGACTAATTTTCACAAGTGGTGCTCGAAATCTGTGCATCAAACTCCAATAGCAGCTGTATCGTTGGGTTAATATTATGTCGTAGTGGTTGATTTCTTGCAAAAATTTGCGAACGAAGTCAGACGCAAATTCCTTACCGCATATTGTTTTTGCATAGTTTCTAATCAAATTAATTTGGAACCATTTTTCCAGTTTTGAACTAGTGAAAAATTTCAGGTTGTAGTAACTCACGTAGAGGTTGTCAGGTTTCGAGAAATGTATGTGAGTGTAGTTGGTGAATGGTATTTTTAGAGAAAAATAACCAGCTGATGATACGTGGTGTCCTTTCTTGATTAGGGCTTCGGTTATTTTGAGAGATAGCATGGAATGACTAACTGAAGAAGACGGATTTACAACGAGAATCTTGAAAGCGCACACCACAGATAAAATTTCCAGAAATATTAACACTAGAAATATGGACACTTTTTGAACGAGCAACATTGTTGCAAATGGTGTTAAATTCAAAGGTAGTGGCAGCTTAACTAAAAAAAAAAACGAATTACTCATTCTTATAACTCATGTTTACAATGGCAGGTTTATTGGAAGAGATATGTAAAACGTACTACAATATAAGTTTAGTATGGTAAGTATATGTTCTTTATGTGTTTTTCTTTAATGAATTAGAGTCGACAAATACTACTATATCACCGATATATTTAATATATTTGTTTATGTTTGTGTTTCCAGAAAGCATTACGTTTTCAGAGAGGACGATGACGATAAGGTAAATTTGCTGCCATGATAGTGAGTAAGTAAAAAAATACTTGTTTTAATTTACAAAATGTAATATTTCGTTTGATGTATCACCGCATTATTAAAATAAATCAAAAGACAATAAACGTCTTTGTTGTCGAAAATGTGGAAAAACCTACTTGTGACAGGCCATGTGTTTTTGCAATGTGGATACCCCCAACTTCCACGACAGCCGCTACTAGCGGTCTCGGAACTTGGTAATTAATAGAGAGCGGATTTTATGAAATTTGCATATCCGTTATTTTTTGCATATAAGTCTTGATATTTAATATGTGAACGAATCATGCTAATTAAAAATGAATACAGCAATAAAAAAATTGCATATTTGCATATATTTGCCTTCTGCTGCATATTTCACGTAATAGGTGCATATTTTGCATTTTTTGTCAATTTTTGTGCTAATTTAAAAAAAAAATTATTGTCATTTTATGGGCATTTATCTAGAAAGACGAAATTTTATTAATCATATTGCAAATATTGTCCTCAGCTTCAAATAACTAGAAAAGGTTTGGGTTTTATGGTAGTTTGGAGACACCATTGGGTGTTAAACCATCCTTCCAGGTAAATTCGCGCCCTATTTACTTTTGGAAATACCGTTCATTCCCAATATTTTGTTCGTTAGTTAAGTGTATTAATTAATGGTACGTTTAGTGGTGGTCGAAGGGACGTTATATTATTATTTTTCATTGTGAGTTTGTATTGAAAGCATTTAACGGGATACAGGTGTATCAATATGTCGAAGATAACTCAAATTAATTTAAGGATTAAAACTTTTCCTGAACTTATTCTTCAAGAACGAACTGTGTTTTGTCGCGCCTGCCTTAAACGGGTAAGTATTTTTACATCCGTGGACGTAGTACGCAGTTTTTCTATTTACAAAATACATTTACTTTAGAATCACCGGAAAAACTTTTTGTTAGAGTATTTCGAAAAATATCTAAAAATAAATTGTTACCACAATAATAATTAAAAAGCGGATTACTACTATTTTTTAATTTGATCTGTTTATATTTATTTTTTAGTATAAGAATATTATCTTTAAAAACGTGATTAATGTGTTAGTGAGATGTAATTAAACACTTTGCAATGTGATTTATGTATTTTTTGTAATAAAACGTAAGCTCGGGAAACCTGCTTTTGAATTTTATACATAAATTTAGTTCGCTTAAGGCCCAATTCTGAATCGAACCTGTTAAAATTTAAAGGTTGTTAAAAAATAAACAGCCAATCAGATTAACGAATTTAACTCGTTACTATGTAAATTTGCAATTTAACACCCTTTAAATTTAACAACTTTGATTCAGAATTGCCCCTTTATTAAGCTTTTTTTTAATTTTTGGAGCATATGCAACTGCATATCTCTGCATATATTAAGAAAGTTACTGCATATTTGCATAAATTTGGTGCATATCATATGATCATATTTCTCAAAATTTTGCTGCATATTTTCCGCTCTCTAGTAATTAAAATGGGCATTGACGAGCAACATGCTGACATTAAACGCTATTTTGCTCAAAGAAGGTAGACCTTCACCGAAGTACTCCTTTGCAGTTTTTTCTCCGTTCGAAGCCATCAGATTTTCGTAATACAATCTCTGAAAAATCCCCATCAAGAAATTATCAATTCTTCTTGCAAACGTTATAGGGTTCACTAAATCCGAAAAAACGTTTGGAACATAGCCTGGATTACTGGGAAGCCCGAACTTTTCGCAAACCCATTCCATGATACCAAAAGTGCTAACTCCTACCACAGGTGCTTCAAATTTATGCATGAAACTCAAATAGCAGTCACTGGTAAACATTTGTGTCACGATTACATCGAAAGGGCCAGAGTCGTTCAAAAATTTTCGGATTTTGTCGGTCCGGAAATCCTGTTCACATATTTCTTTACCGAAAGTTTGAGCCATGTTCATAACCAACCACCTTTGTAATTTGGTGCCTGTGAACATCCCCATATCTAAAAAATTTAGATAACTGTGTCCAGGTTGTCTCAGGTCCAGGCTAGTGTGGTTCCCTTTGATCGGAAAGTAACTGAGAAAAGTTACGTTATGCTGTTTGTCCATTAAACTCAAACTTATCGATTCGAAAATTTTACAGTGGCTTCTTCCGGGGAATGGACATATTATTAGGATCTTGTAGGAATAAACCACAAGACAAATACTTAACAATGTTAGCACTTGGACTAACTGCATTTTTTAAAAACGTACGCATGGATGTTTAGTTATATACGTAGTTTTGTGCAATTTTATTTGCGTAATATTTATCGAATTAGCTATAAAGATAATAGTGAAATATATTTAATGGCTTACGCCGTGACATTGGTAACAAATTAGATCGGTTATTTATTGTCCTTATATTTTGACCTAGATGTTACTAGTATGTGTTTCCGTATGACAAAATTCTCCGCATAGTAGAGTAAAATAACATCCATACAAAAACTAGTGGAGCAGAACGTCGTTTTCTAAAACCTTATTCCCTTCTGAGAAAGCGCGAAAAATTGAAGATATGACAAAATATTACCACCACTAAATATTGTGACAAGACAAATGAATGTGTTTTCATTTACACAATATAACACTTTGTTTGACGTAATAGCGCAAAAACAAATTAAAGTGAAACGTTTTTGTTGTCAAAAAT